CCATCACTCTTTGTGAGCTCTACTTTGAGGTGGATGAAGAAGATCCCAGTTTTAAGAAAATCGACCCGAAGGTAAGAGATCATTGACCCTGAGCTCTGAGAGATGATGACAAATTACCCAAGACCTTTAATTCTTCATTCGCCTTCCTTTACCTCTCTTGGTCCGCAGTGTTCCTGCTTTAGTAACTTTGTGACTGACCACATAAGTTACTGAACCTCACGTAGGTGTCACCTCCTTTCCTTCTCCTTTTTCTCCCCCTCCCACAATTCGACCCTGCTTGAATGTTAATTAGCTTGCTGCGAATAAAGCTCCAGGGAGGCATCTTAAATAAAGACATCTTGAATCACAGGCCTGTGTGAATACTGGAAAGTTCAACGGAGCTGTTAGCCCAAATGCTTTGCTTTACTTTCCTATTTCTGCATGATGACGTAGCGCTAAACTTTGTACACTCCTAAGTTTTCAGTGCTTCTGTATTGCATTATTCTATAACAGATTTTACAGGGCCTGCTATTATTTATTGTGCCTAAGCAAAAACCATAATTGCCCTCTTAAAATACGTTTCTGAACTGACTTGCTAATTTCCACAAACTTTATTTGCTCTGAGTTACTTGATTACTAGTGTTTTGTTTAAAATTTGTAACCGTCAGTAAAATTGCTATTTCAAAGGCAGTATATTGTGTGATTAGCTTAATAAGGCTGCACTTGAACGTTTTCTACAGTATTACAGCAACATTTCAAAAGTATGACGTGATGGGTAAACATTCTCGCATCCCAATTTAAGCTCAGCGATGGCTCTTGGCGTTTTAAATATCTGGTTAGAATTAAACAAGGTAATAATTTTTTTGCGAAGGGGGAAAAAAAGTCACTGGAAGAAGTAGTGGTTTTCTGCTTGTCTGTAGAGAATACCTTGTGTGTTACGCGCCAGTTCAGTTCTTTGTTCCTCTGGAGTAAATTGCTCTTGTCTGTATTAAAAATGGCATCAGTGGGTCTGAAAGCTGGGATTATCAAATCCTATCAAGGAATAAATTTATTCTGAGAAACAGTGCTCTCAAATTCTTAGAACTAGAATTGAATATAAGCAATCAAATAGAACTGTGATTTTTATGTGATACCATAAATGAGATTTAACTTCTCTTTTGATCCTGAAGTATTTTTGAAATATTTTTGAAATTATTTCAAGTATGAGATAGCTCTTACGATTTTGATATGCTTACTCCTTCCATAGTGCTTTTTAAAAATGTTTAATGGTAAAAAGGATATAAATATGAAACATAAAGACAGTTTGATATGCTACTGTATTGCATTTTCCATCTAAAATGTTCGGCTTTGTATTGCATTAGCATGAGAAAAGTCTTACGGATTGGCATTATTCTGCGTTTTTGTTTTCGATGTTTAGCACATAGGGCGTTCGAGTACAGTTACTAATTCTTACCATTCCTGTTCCATGTTTTATGGGAACATTGACATACGACATCTATTCAGCTTGCTTGCTTTTCTCCTGGTTTTGAGTATTTGGTAGTGGTGGTTTTCTTAACTGTGAGTAGGCATTCTGGTTTGATTTGACTGTATCTTTAGTTCTGTATCTGAGATTTTATTTGGGTTGCTATAAAAGGAGGAGTTGGTTGCATGAAATATAGGCTATGCCTTTTATATTCTGCTTGTGATGCTACTTTAGATGGAGGTCTTAAAAGAAAAAAAAAAGACCTTTTATAATGTTTCTTGGGGGGGGGGCTAAAAATCAAATCTGAATATTTTGATTTTAAAAAACAAATAAGCTTACATCGTAGCTTGCTTTCAAGCCTCTCTGCCCCACCCTGTGCGTAAGTTAGGGTACCTTGATA